GCTGAGGCCCCTGGATTCCCGGATACTGGGGTTTAGTCACTCCACCCCCAAGCCAAGCCCTTGGCCCCTGTGACAGGACCCTGTGACAGGACCCAAACAGCATGAAGTTCTCCCAGCAGTTACCACGAGGCCAGCACCTGACACCTGAGGGCACTTGGCAAACCTTGCGTGGGTTCCTAAATGGCGCCCCTCTCCCTGGGCCTCAGCGGGCCCCTGTGGCCCTCCTCCCTCTGCCTCCCTCACATCTGCACAGAGCAGCGGCCAGCAGGGAGGCCTGTGAGAGCCCCAGGCAGTTCTCAAGCTCTGCTCCATGGTCAAGGGCCAAGGGGTCCCAGGTGGCTGAGACCCAGCCTTTCCCAGGCCCCCCCTCCACCATCTGCTGGGTGTCTGGCAGGGCAAGGGACACAACTGCAGCCCGGTGTTTGCCGAGCCCCCAGCCTCAACCGGGATCCCCGGCCTCTTGGTGTTTACTCAGCCTCCTCACTGAGCCCCAGCCTCGGCACCATTCTCCGGGGCCCCTGCCTCCTCACTGCCCTCTGAGTCTGGCGCGGCTGCCCTGAGCTCAGCCCCCGCCCTGGGGCCAGCCTCCCTGCTACCCTAGATAAAGCCAAACTCCTCTTCCCCTTCGCCCAGGTGAACCCCTCGGCCCCTGCCGTCTTTCTGCCTCCCCTGTCCTCAGGTCCCTGTCACTTGTGTCCTGGCGGCTCCAGACAGGCAGTGCTCTCTGGGTGTAGCAGCCTTCCCTCAACTCTGCCTGGGGGACCCCACCCTCTTTCCAGGCTTCACGTGCCACCCTCCTAAGACTTCCCGGAACCTCGCAGACATAGGTCACGGTGCCCTCCCACCGGTCCCGGTAGTGAAACCCAGCCCCAGCCCCACGCTGTCCTGCTGACCCGGGCCTAGCCCAGGCCCGTATGGGTCAGGCTTGGCTCTGTAAGTAGGGATGAGGAGAGAGGCACCCGGCACCTCCACAGCCCCCAAGCTGAGTCGAGCTGCCCAACTGCCTGAAGAGCACCGGATGACAAGGTGAGAAACCTGCAACCCCAGGAGTTGGGAAACTCGCCTCCCGTGTTCTAGGAAAGGAGATGGCAGGGAGACAATGCAGCTGTGCCCTGAAGGCCTGGCGGGTAGGCCACGGGGACAGAGCCAGAGGCCTCTGTGCCGACGAGTGCTGGGAACTGGAAGAAAGGGTGGCAGTGGGCCGGCCCTTCGCCTCAGGCCCCTGGAAGACAGTCGCAGAGCTCGACCGGCTGCATGTACCCAGCACCCCACAGGGGCCCGGGGCC